CTAATAGCTATAGACACACACACATACAACACATGTGTGTGTAGTGGACATGAAGAAAGGAGTATTACCAAAACAAAGAGGACACTTCATAATGAGAAAAAGGTCAATTCATCAGGAAGACCAAAAAAACACCACAAGTAAGTATACACCTAATACCAGAGTTTCAAAATAATGTGAAGCAAAAACTGACAGAACTTTAGTGAAACACACAAATCCACAATCATTGTTGGAAATTTTAACATCCCTCTCTCAATAACTGAAAAGAAAAAGAAATCAGAAAAGACATAGACTATCTTAAACAACACTATCAGCTAACTAGATCTACCTGACGTTTCTGGACTACACCCAACGACTGAAGATGTTCATTCTTTCCAGGTCCACCAGATCATTCACCACTAAAGACCACATGCCAGGTCTTAAAACAAGTCTCAATAAATTTCAGAGGATTAAATCTTACAGATTTTTTTTTTTTTTTTACCACAACAGAATTAAATTAGAAACAGTAATGAGATATCTAGAAAATCCCCAAATGTTTGAAAATTAAACAACACACTACTAAAAAATCCATGGTCAAATAAATTACAAGCAAAATTAAAAATTATTTTGAACTGCGTGCTAATGAAAACAATGCTTATCAAAATATGTGAGATAGTTAAAACAGGGCTTAGAGGGAAACATAACTTTATACTGACAATAAAAAAGAAGAAAGGTTTAAAATCAGAGTCACCTTAAGAAGATGAAAAAAGATGAGCAAATAGAAGACAAAAGAAGTAGGAAGGAAGTAATAAAGAATGGAAATCAATGAAATAGACAAAAGATAACAGAGAAAATAAATAAGACCCTAAATTGGTTCTCCGAAAAGATAGATTAAGAAAAAAATTAAGAGAACACACAAATTGTCAACATCAGGAATGAAAGAAATGATATCACAATAGATGCTAAAAGGATACTAAATAATTATGATGAATAAAGTTTTGCTAACGTTTTTGACAACTTAGATAAAATGAACAAATTCTTTTAAAAACACATATTACCTAAACCTATACCCAACAAGTAGAAAGTCTGAATAACCCAATATCTGTTAAAAAAAAAAAAAAAAAAGAGTTTGTAAGTTAAAACTTCCCACAAAGAAAATTCCAGGCAGAGATCGTTTCGCTGGTGAATTATATCAAATATTTGAGGAAAGAATCTAGCCAGTACAATAAAGGAAGAAATAAAAATAGAAGGCAAATAAATATTTTCTTTAGAAATAAAGAAAAGCTGTCTCTGTTCACAAACAATGACTACAAAAGTAGAAATTTCAAAAAAGAAAGCTTCTAGAGCTAAGAAGTCAATTTAACAAGGTTGCAGGATGACAAGATACAATATCAGTATTTAAAAAAATCCATTTTACTAAATGCTAACAAATAATTGGAAAATAACATTGTAAAAAGTAAAGTTCAATATCATTAAACTATCAACTATTTAGGATCAAATTTAATAACATAACTGCAATAACTGTACTAAAAACTATGAAATATTGCTGAAAGAAGTTAAAGACTTAAACAGATGCATAAGACATTAATTTTCTTAAAACTGATCTACAGATTCAACGTAATCCTAATCTAAAGCCTGCAGTTTTTCAGCGGGGGGAAGTTGGGGAGACTAACAAGTTGATTCAAAAATTTATATAGAACTGCAAAGGACCTAAAATAACTTAAAATTTTTTGAAAAAAAGAAGGACAAAGTTGGAGAATTTACACTGCCTGATTCAAGTTTTACTATAAAGCTACAATAACAAAGACAACATGGTGGCTTAGAGACAGATGAATAGATCAATGAAACAAAACTGCCCCACATATAAGCAGTCAACTGATTTTCAACAAAGGCCCCAAGGCATTTCAACAAATGGTACTGAAATAACTGGATAAATACCTGGAAGAAAACTTCTCAGTATCTACCTCTACCCCATTAATTCTAGATGGATCACAGACCTAAATATAAGAGCAAAATCTATGAAGCTGCTAGAAAAAGATCTGAGGAAATCTTTCTGGCCTTAGGGTAGGCAAATATTTAAGACGCAAAAAAGCCTAAACTACAAATGAAAAAGATGATGTATTGGTCTTCATTAAAATTTAAAATGTCTGCTCATCAAAACACAATTTAAGAACATGACAAGGCAAACTGCAGCCAGGAAGAAAGTATTCACAACATCCATATCTGAAAAAGAACTTATATCTAGAATATACAAAGAACCCTACAAAAAAAAAACCAAACAATTAAAAATGGGCAAAAACTTGAACAGATACTTTACAAATGAAGATATACAAGTAACTAATGAGCACAGGAAAATGTGGTTACCTTCATTAGTCATTAGGGAAATACTAATTAAAACCACAATGGGATACCACTCCAAGCCCACTAGACTTGCTAAAATTAGCAAGACAGACAAAACCAAATATTGGAATGAATGGGGTGGAACTGGAACACTCATACATTGCGAGTAGGGGTGTAAAATGATAACCACCTCTTTGGAAATCATTTTAGTAGTTTCTTATAAAATTAAATATGGTTAGAATTATGCTCAAACCCAGCAATTGCACGCCCAGTTATTTACCCCAAGGCAAAAGATAACATACTCCACAGGTACACTTGTACAGAATGTCTATAGCAGCTTTTAACATAACAGCAAAAACTGGAAACAATCCAAACGCCCATCAAGAAAAGAATAGATAAACTAATTGTGGTATTATTCAAAAATTTTAACTAAGCACTGATACATACAACATGGATTAATCTCAAAAACATTATGTTGAGTGAAAGAAAGCCAGATTTAAAGAGTATTCTTGTATGCTTACATTTATACAAAGTTTAGTAAGAGACAAAAACTAACCCATGGTGACAGAAGTCAGACCAGTGGTTGTCTATGGGGCGTGGAGCCTGACTAGAAGGAGCATGAGGGACCTCCTGTTATTCTATATCTTGATTGGGGTGATGGACACACTGTACAGACATTTATCAAAATTCATTGACTTGTACACAAGAACAAGAGTATTTCACTGTATGTAATTTCACCTCAAGTTATCTCAATTAAAAAAGAAGTTTATTCCTTAGGCTGTTATATGAATCTCAGATCATTCAATTAAAATAATTAAATTCCCAGGCCCACATATTTGCCCCACAATATAATTGGATATAATTGAATATAATACTCAACAACTTTGGATCATTCTATTTATCAATTTAATTTATAAATGAATTGTTCCATTTATTTACTATTGCTTCCAGTAATATTTTTTGACTTCTTCAAAATTTCTGTATAGAATTTTTCCTAATTTTATTTTACCCCCCCTTTTTTTAATAAATGAAATTTACTATTGGCATTTAATTGAATTTAGAGTGCTTTAGAAATGATTAGAAAAACTGAATGCTGTTTTTAACATTTAATACCAAGTCACCAAACCTTGTGCATTACAAGTCCTCCATAGAAAAAGATGCTACATGGAAAGGGAAAAACATGTGGCAAAAGATTTACCTATGACTATGTTGGCACCTGATCTTAGGGTTCTGTGCCTTTTGGGTAAATTGTCTTCAATGAGGTGTTGATTCATCCAGATCTAAAGCTCTCTTGTTTAAGGGAGCTAGGAGGAGGCAGTAGCCAAGAGGAAACTTTTCATTAACTTTTGCTTTATTTATTTATTTTTTGTGAAGAAGATTGGCCCTGAGATCTGTTGACAATCCTCCTCTTTTTGCTTGAGGAAGACTGTCATTGAGCTAACATCTGTGCCAATCTTTCCTCTATTTTATATGGGATGCTGCCACAGTGTGGCTTGACATGCAGTGCTAGGTTCACACCCGGGATCCAAACCTGCGAACCCCAGGCTGCTGAAGTGCAGCACATGAACTTAACCACTATGCCACCAGGTGGCCCCTAACTTCTTCTTTAAATGGAACATTCTAGTTAGGTTCCAGAACAAAAACATTATGGAATAATGTGTAAATCTATAATGGTCTACACTGTTTAGTGACTACTTGCAAATTTCCTATTACAAAACAAACAGACATCAATCATTATAATGTATTACTGATAGAAACAAAAAGACAAAACAAGCATCTAAGACTGAGAAGCGTCTCTTAGAGGTACAGAGGGTTCTGGGGTGTACCCTCCGGCGTCCTCTCCTGGCTTCTGTTAACCCGAGCTGGCACCCTTCTGCCTGGCTCCCTCACCTACCTCTACAGTTTGTCTTTACACCCATTCTTCAGCGTCCTTCTACTGCCCTGAGACACTTATCCTTCCTTCCATGTGTAAGCAACACCAGACATCTAACCAACCAGTATCACAAAGGGATAGGTAGTTAGTCCCCACTTATTTTAAAAAAGTATGCTTTGGGAAGTGGGGTTGGGAGTCTAAATCTGAATGATTCACACATTAAAAAAAAAACATATAAACTTGATCAGCCCAAAAGAAAATTAATCTGGGGGACTGGCAATCTCATCGTTACGGGGTAATTGTGTTCACACAAGGCATTGCCTAGCAACGGAAGGAGCAGGCAAATCCCACCATTCGGGTGTAATGAATCACTCACAGACTCCTGCTCACAAATGGTAATTTGATGGGAAGATATTCACATCTGGTTTAATCTGGAACAAGACTTCAGAGAATTCTGCAGACTCAAACCGAGAGAAGCAGCAGGTATTTCACCAATACCCAAGCTCCAGAACAAAGACTATTCCTACTTACTCAGTTGAATGATTGCTTTTGTTTAAAAACAAAACAAAACACGGTTTTGATAGCCTTGTTGTTTATGACATTCTGTTTTGGCTATGCTCCAACTTCGATGGCTTCAGCACAGTTAATGAATGTCACAAATATAAAAAGGTAAATATGACAAACAAACAATGGGATAATCATGGTTGAACTAAATTACTTTAGAAGACCTCAAAGAGACAGCCCAATTTGCCCTACAATCCGCAAGCCACTTCAAGCTCAGTGTTTCTGAATCAAAAAAGAGACCACATACGAGCGAGATCTGTGTCTGGATCGTCTGTTGTTGGAGTCCGCCTGGTTTTTTTCCTTTTGTCTCCTTAATACGGCTTCCCACTGAGGCGCTGAATCAACCATATCATTCTCCTGCCGTATTCTGGAAAGAAAAGACCATTCATCTGAAGTCAACATCCACACACAGTGCTTTGTTTCTCGCTTCGTCCTGCATCTGCTTTTAAAAGTTATCAAATAAGTTATTTAAAAATTATTAAGAAATGAAAAGTTATTTAAGAAGAAGCAACTTCATTAAAATCAGTCAAAGCTAAGAATGTATTAACTGAATTAAAATATCCATAAGTAGATAAGTATATATTATAATACTTATACATAAATTTTACTATATTACGTAGTTTCAGACTTCTGTCTTTGACTTAAAATTTCCCAAGAAAAAGATGTGTCAAACAAAAATTTACCTAAAACATATTTACGTTTTGACTAAACAGTGGTGTCTGCTATAGATCTAATCTTAAATCATGAAACAAAATCATGTTTTTAAATGTACTAAAGTAGCAATGAATAATTTTACTTTGAAATGCTGTTAAAAATTCACAGTAATCATCAAAGTTTTCATGGACAATAGGTGCCAGGCACAATTCCCTTGATTTTTTTTTTTGGTGCAGAAGATTGGCCCTGAGCTAAAATCTGTGCCAGTCTTCTTCTATTTTGTATGTGGGACGCCTCCACAGCATGGTTTGATGAGCAGTGTGTAGGTCTGTGCCTGGGATTCAAACCCATGAACCCCAGGCTGCCGAAGCAGAGCACGTGAACTTAACCACTACATCACCAGGTCAGCCCCTAATTCCCATTTTTTAAGATAGAAAACTAGAAAGTACAAAAAGTTAAATATGATGGCATCACGCATTAGCAGCTGAGTAGGCACACACCATTCTGATTCATGCTCATAAGTTGAAAAGGGAATGAAGGTTGAACACTCAGTCTGGTCAGGGGCCAGGCAGGAATGCAAATGAAGGAAATCCAGGGCCGGGGGAAGTGGGGAACATTGGCACCTGCCATGTGAGACCACAAGACAGTGTTACCAAATCCTCTCATTCTTTAAAGATAATCCACAAATCTTGACTTTTAAAGTGAACTTTTCAATTTTAAGTATTGGCAACCAATTCTGAATGTTAAGATACTGTACGTACCTAATAAAACCTATCTATGGGCCACATGACAGAAGTTTTGGATATCTGTTATATCAAGTCTTTCTAATAATGAGGATAAAGAGTTAGAGAAGGGGGAAGCAAGTGCTTAATTAATGAGTAAATATTGTCTGGAATGCACTGCAATGATGCTGTGAAGCCATGAGTATTCCTTGCAAAAATCAAACACCTGTTATCTGAATATTTGACTCTTAATTTATGTGAGTTCTTCAGAAAACTGTTCCAGCGTGTTCATTTCACATGCTGACGCTCCCAGGGTGTGGAAGAACAGTGTGGAATCACAGGGTAAGCATCCCAGTACTGTGACTGCATGAGCATAACTGCTTGAGAACAAAAATGCAAAGAACAGACAAGTTTGGAGTCATTTCTCTCTCTGAACAGATGTCTTTTGGTTGCCCTGTTACAGCACTTAGTACAGACTGTGGGGTGGATATCTGGATTTGCTCATAAATGCAAATCAGTAGATGGGTGACAAATATTCCTTTCACGTATAACTTAACTGGAGACAATGTAAAGCAAATTCAGGTAAAAAAAAGAACAGTACCTTATAGGGAAGAAACCATTTAAATCGCTCTAGATTAAAGAGGAATTATGTTCAATGAAAAATTATCTGTAACATACTTCAAGCCTTTGAACTGTGTATACTTCCTTGCTAAAGCTCTCATTTCTAATAGGTTATTTGAAAATTAACAGGATACAGTCGTAGTATGTCTCACAGATTCAAGAACAGTTCCTTCTCTCATGGCATATACAGAGGAAATTAAAACTGAACATATACTGCTACAAATCTTCCTATTAGAAATACCTGAGGGAAAATATGAGAAGGTATGCTACTTAAGGTCACAATCATCAATTCCCATTTGAAAATGCCATGTAGCATGTACATGTGTCTGTGTGTACACACATATATACACACATACGTATTTTCATAGCCAGAATCTACAACTCTGAGCCATTCTATGTATCATGTGACAGCCAGTAACCCACCAGATCTGCTGTGGGGGAGCAGTTCTGGACACTCCCAGGACCGAGGGATCCAGAGTTAGGAAGAGACAATCAATGGGAAAATGTCAGGTTGGCAAGGAGGTATCTTCCCTCCCACAGAAACCCACACCTCACATTGCCCAGGGACAGACATAAAACCCAGGCCTCCTCACTCCTAATCCTGCACGCTTTTAGATTCTAGCTTTCATTCTGAACTGAACTGGTGCATAGTTCATGGGCAGGACTAAATTTCACAATTTTATTTTATTTTATTTTTTTAAATATTGGCACCTGAGCTAATAACTGTTGCCAATTTTTTTTTTCCTTCTTGTTCTTCTGCCCAAAGCCCCCTAGTACATAGTTGTATATTCTAGTTGTGAGTGCCTCTGGTTGTGCTAGGTGGGACGCCGCCTCAGCATGGCTTGCTGAGCAGTGCTATGTCCACACCCAGGATCCGAACCGGTGAAATCCTAGGCCACTGAAGTGGAGGGCACAAACTTAACCACTCAGCCACAGGGCCAGCCCAAAATTTCACAATTTTAAATTTAACAGGAAGTCAGCATCTTTAAATATTTTTGAGAGGTCAAGCCTACCAGCAAGGCTGAGGCCTGACTTAGGCAAACATACTTTTCCCGAAGGACAGACATTTAAAAAGGAAGCACAATTAGTGTATGCTCGTTCTCTTCTATTGGGGAATTTAGCTGGTTACCTTCATCCTCCACTGCACCCTGATAATAAAAAATTAAAACTCCTGAGACAAGAGCACACATATTTCCTGTACCTTGCTAGTAATAAGAACTAAATCAGAAAGAATCTCAGACTATGGCACATACCTTTAACTTTTATTTTTCTAATCAAAAAGTCTAAAGTGAGGGCAGTGAAACCCTGTCAGTTAATATCCTTGTGACCCACATGTTCCAAAGACAGATGCCCTCTACTGGTGGTACTGATTCATAAATATTCCAACAAGGTGCATTAAAAATGTAAGTCTCACTGGAGAGTCACAACAGAAGCACATCTTCCTGAGTAACGGGTGGTGTGGCTGCCTTAGTCTGTAATGAAGTTTGAAATTACATCCTTACAAAAGGCCTCTGGTTAATGGTGCCTCATTACAAGAATGGAAGTGTCATTTCGCCTATCAAGAAACTGCTCCAGAAAATACACGTGCTATATGTGGAAAGGAAAAATCCTAGCCCTAGAAGCAAGTATACTGTAACACTCAGTCCTTAAGAGGCAGGAGTTAACTATTTTGTTTATGTATGAATGAATAAAGGAAGCTTTAAATGTGAAAGATGTCTCCTATAAGGATTCTGCCTTGTAGGTCTCATTTATTGTTAGATGTGGGATATACAAGCATTGCTTTTTGCTCTTCTCCTGCTATATGTTAATTTTGATGTAGGGATTTACATTATGAAGAATAAAAACACTGCAAGTGTTGGATCCACATACCACCTTTTAAAAAGTCAAAATACGTTCTTATATCACTGATAGAAATGAAAGTCTCAAGGAGAAAAGAAGAGTCCATCGTAATTTACATTGGGGATGTATTCATTTTCAAATGTTGCATTTAAAGGTGAACCTCAAAAATGCTGTTTCTTTCTGATATCCTTCAATGCAATAACTCTGCATTTATCATATGTTGTCTATTTCCTCATCTACAACTACGGAGAGTTAATACTTGGGTGGGAAGTCTTATCATAACAAGGCTTTTGTTTTTTAACTAACGTATAAGGAAGAGGGTTGTTTCAGAAGAGAGCATATCTCAATGATGTTTCAGAATAGGAGAATTCTAATACATTTCTTCCAAGTCTTACCAAGCTTCAACACCCCACTTTTTCAGACTATCTACGCAATTTAGCTTTTAACTGCATTTGATACTTAAAGTTTGCAAGAGGTTTTGAAGATGAAATGCCATATAATCGTTTGGTAACAATAATGAAGATAATGACTCTTCCTAGTCTCTTCTTTCCTGTCTTCCCAATTACAATTCTACCTCTCCTGCAAAATTCTTCACCTTACCAAACGAACCCTTGTGGGTTTTACTTTGCCCTCTACGTTTATCTGGGCAATTTTGTTCCTAACAAGACCTTCCTTTATATCTGTTCTTAATTCACTTATCAGTCATTGAGATAAAGGCCATGTTTAATGCTAAACCTGAGAAATCGTACGGACCAAGTGTATAATGAAGCTTCAAGATGATACGAGAAATACACGTTGCTCCTGAGTTCTGCCTGGTTCTAGTTCTGCCATTGTCGGACTTAGAGACCCTGGGCACATCACTTATCTTCTTTGGTCAGGCAAAGATCCTTTCTAGCTTTAAAATTCTCTGTTTCTCTATTTGTTTTATTTCCAAGCCAGCCAGACATGAAACAAACCTCTACTCCTCAGCTATAGCACAGCTTTCCAGACAATTACTTCATATGGCCATTCCACTGCTAATATTAAATCTGCAGGTCCCAACTGACTGTGGACTTGTGTTTCTCATCAACCACACTCATTTTTGGATCACCTGCTATAAACCAATCTTCATTTTTTTTTTTCAGTAGTTTTTCTTCCCCAGGGAAATTTATGTTGGTTTCAGGCATCTGTCGACGTACTCCCCGAAGACCAGCAAGCAAAAAATTCATTTGCTTTTCCCACCTTCCCCCACCATCAACAAATTATTCTTATTTGCTCTTAAAGGTGCTTCTGTCTCTTCCACTTACTCCTTATGCCCTCCCTAGTAAAATGGGCTACCTTTGGTGCAATTTCCCTTTCCAACTCTCCTTCTATTTTCATAATTTTTCAACCTGCTTGATCTCACTCCCTAATCTGACAGCATTCCTCAGCGGCTGCAGCTCTGCACTTCCACAGCCATCTCTGTCAACTTTGATTATGCTCTGGAAGCCCTAAATCACCCGAATCAAATGTCTAACTCTTGATGGGACTTATTAAAGTGGAAATCAGAAGC